TTTAAACCGAAAAATGGAAAACTTGTTCAATGTTTCGTATTTTCAACGATTGTGTGCTATTAATAAAATGTTCGCGGTGGATTTGTTACGATTGATGCACGTCATTTTCATCATCATCATCAGCCACATTACAAGCGATTTACATTGCTATGTTTTTAATGTGTGTACCACTTGAAAATTTTACAACAACGACGATTAAATTGTTGTCACTCACACAATTTGTGTATTTCAGCTCTCTCTCTCTCTCTCTCTCTCTCTCTCTCTCTCTCTTTCAGTCTACGATCTTATGGGGCAAGCATTTCAAATTTGAAATTGGTGACGGTGGAAACGTAACATGTTTTTTGCATTTTGATTGTGTTTTCAATATAGTTACATCTAGATCATCGAACCATTGCAGTCATATTTGGTTGAAAAGGGTTGTTTTTCGGTCATGTTTTTTTCTCTTTCTCTTTCGGTTGCGTGTGTTTCTTTTGTTATAATTTTGCTGTCGTCAAAATTCATATTTGTTGTTCGAATGTCTCGTCGAGTGTCAACAAGAGGGTGTTTCAACAACTGTGTTGTTCTTCTCCCTCTCGCCCATTTGCGCGCTCTCGTTTCAAAACTACAATTTGATTCGGTACAGTTTTTTCATCGTTTTTCGTTGTTGTTTTTTTTTTTTTTGGTTCGGTTGAAATGCGACACGAAAACTCGTTCAACGACTGCACCGTTTCGTTGACATTCATAATAACTTTTATGTGTGTGTTTGTTTTTTCATGTCGTTTCGGGTTTTTCATTCGATAACAAAAATGAGATTGCGGTTACTGCACCAATTGTAATGAAATTAATACTAATTTTATTTTGAATGCCGCATCCACTGTTTTCATTCACTTAAAATGGGTCTTTGTTTGTTTGTTTGCGTATGGAATCAGATGTTTGATTGTTGATTATTACATGTTTACTCCGACGAACTTCTTTTTTATTCAAATTGAATCGATTTTTTTTTGGTAAGACGAACTGAGAACGAACCGAAAATCTCACGGTAGTGAAACATTTTTCTTCTATTGAAATTTGTTCGGTGATCGTCCGATAATTTATGAGATGTTAATCTTGCAATGTTGGCGAAACCGATCGATAAAATAATATATCATCCTCGGATTATCTCAACTGGGGTAAACTCGGTGTGGTTTTGTGTGTAAATAAGCATAAAACAAAAAAAAACGCATATTCGAGATGCTTGAGTCTTTTTTTGGGTTGTGATTTGATTGAATATTATTCTCCCATTTTTTCTGCCGGAGTCACTCGAAAAACTAGACAGGGGTGTATAAAACACATCCTTCTAAAATGATATGGAAAGAAGATTTTTTTTCCTCAGCCGGAATGAGCCATCAATTTTTGATATTAGAATTTGCATTGTGTGAATGTGGCATGTGTTTTACGGTGGATTTTCTGGGACGCAGGGTGATATGCAGAGTTGAACGAAATGAATAAAAAAAAAACAGGCATCATAATTGATTGAGCTTCTCGCAATAATGTAATTACAACGAGCATTACTGTCGTTTACGTGTTGGTAATTCTGGATAAAATAAATTTACCGTGAAGTCGGAATAAATCATCATGCGAAGCATCACACACGTGAAACCGAGAAGAACAAAATTCATTGATTTTTGAGCTTCTTCGAATCATTTCAAAAGAAAAACGATTTGTTTTAAAATCGATTTTATTCAAAATGAATACGCTTTGCTTCGTACTTGATCCACTTGTGTGCGTGTATGTGATAATATCCATCCGTATCGAATGTCAAATCAATGTTGTACTTTTGCAATGGAATTGCAAAGAAATCGCCATTAAATTTACACTCCATCCATCTAACATCTATCATTGAAGGACAAAAAAATCAATACCCGATATATCATATTGAGACTCGGCAATTTAAAAATTAAAATCGATTTTCTTAGACATTTTGGCTTGAAAATGAAAGAAGAAAAAGTGAAGCGATAACAACGAATTAAGCTAAAAGCATAAAAATTGTGTAGAAGACATTAAAACTGCACACCTGAATGAGATCAATGAATGAAGAATGACAAACGTTTATCACTAAAACCCAGCACCACAAAAATGCTCTCTTCGTATTCCATTGCTCTGTTCAAAGCATTTTCTAGTCTTGTCTTTTGTCCTGTTTCTTTCGGATTTTCTATCTCCTTTCCTTGCCTTTAGGCCATGAATATGTACGCACAATTCATTTGCTAGCGAACGAATAAGATATGATAAATCGATTGCACGAAGTTCACATGGATGTGTGTGTGTGTGTGTTGGCATCGATTTGTCTTTTGGTATTGCAATGTTCTTTCAACATTCAAACAGGATGAGCATAGAACAAGCATGACAAAGTGTCACACACTCATGCGTTCGATAGACAAGGACATCGTCGCATGAAGAGATGAGAGTAAAGGAGGATTGATTGAACAAAATGAAAAATGACAACAAAATGATGATGGCAACATGTAAGCCATGCACCCACCAGTAACATATATATGTGCGTGTATTTGAAATAATGCGTTTTTTTCTCTCTTCAATCTTCTTCTTTTCATTCGGATCATTCTTTTATTCTTTCAGCCGGTGATTTACTCATTTCTTTTTACAATCTTCTTTTTTTTTCGGCTTCAAAACATGAAAAATAATTGTTGCCGAAAAACGTACACCTGGACGGATGTGACCAATACGTTTGTCATACACAACAAGCAAATGAAATCTATCACCTTGTGTTCAATACCTTCTTTTGTCTGAATCCATTAAATTTTCCAGATTATTATCGTGACATAAACATTTTTTTCTCGTAAACTCTTTTCGTGGCAGCAAAGACATTTAAATCAGTGTGCGAATATGCTTTATTTTAATTTATATATTCGGGTATATTATTACCAGTTAATTTTTTATGTTATTTTGTGACGAATTTCAAACGATTTCATTTTAATAAGCGATAAAAGATGCGCTACCGATGGTATTTCTTCGGTAGCGTATTTTTTTAAACGAAAAAAATTCCAATCAAATGTTGAAATATCAAATGTAAGCGATCCATTCGAATATTGCTCTTTCGATTTAAATTTCTACCGTCAAAGGAAAAAAAAATTTAAAGTCACAAAACAAACATTTGATGAATTTAATGGCACGCACTCTTTGGATGTGATAGATGCATCTGTAGCAGTAATAATTTATGTATTAACAAATACTTTATAACCATTGGCGATTGCATTGTTTTGGCGCACTTCAAACGGTGAAACGCAGCTGCGCAAGAAGTAGTTTGAAATCACATAAAAATGTCAAATGGGATAAAAGTTTGAGAAACCTCTTCAAAGTAATAAAAATGATTATTTATTTAAAAAAAATAAAATCAAAGAATTTTTCTAACTTTGAATGTGAGGTGATAAAACTAATTTTTTAATGGGCTTTTAAAAATGAGAATGCTCTTTGTTTGTGCAAACCCGACATCGGTCTCGTTGACCTGGTACCCAAACTCTATTATAAAAATATGAACAACAATTAAGAATTGATTCAGTGAACACATGTGCACACACAAAAATACACACCCAAAAAAAAGTTGGATTTCGTTCGGAACAAAAACCAATTTTGCGTTCGATGAAACCGAACAATGGCCGGCAAATAAAACGACAAAAGTCAACCTCTTGATTTTAATGTGAGGATTTCAATACGTGACCATTCTTTTTCGATTTTTTTCAATAATAAAAACAAATTCAGGCCGTAATTTTTTAATGACATTTTAGCTATTCAATACATTTCATTGAAAAAGTCGATCTGAATGGTTCGCAAATCAAACGTGCATTTCTAATATTATTATTTTTTTCAATCATCTCCAAAACCATTTCAACGAATTAAAACCTGTGTTGAGTGTTTTATGATGGCAAAGATTATGTTAAATATTGACAATTAAAAACAAGCTACACTGTTATCGATTTATCGTAGAACGGATGCTTTTCGGGAGGCTTAAACGTTTGCCATTTTATTGATCATAAAAATAAACCAGAAAAAAAACCGACGCGGAAACATAAATCGGCAACAAATGAGAAATCGATAAAACCGATAGCGATTTTGAGGTGGAAATGTACATTTTCATCGATTCATTGAGCATTCAAACAGGTTGAACATTTTGTATACAATGGCCAATAATCTCAATTCAATGTGTATTGTGTTTGCGTGTGTTTGTTGTCATTTGAACTTTGTGTCTCTTTCATTGAGTCTGCAATTTTTAAACAGACCTCATTTAAAGTAGCCATTCTTTGGCAATGTCCAATAAGTTCTTATTTTTTTTTCAATGGTGATTGGTGTGATGTTGAATGAATCAGAACCTATCGATTTTCAAAGTGGCTTTGTACACGGTTGAGCCGAACATAAAATAAGTTTATTGTTTGCGTGTTAAACGGTTCACTTTCGGAAATTTATCTATTGTTTTCGTGCGTTGCCATTTTGAAAAGTTGGCCCAAACAAAAGAGAGAGAAAAAATGAGATGATGAAGTGCACATACATAAATTGTATTGAACATTCGTATTCATGCTTTCAATTATAAAACCAGATCATCATTGAGAAAACAAGAGGTATAATAGATGTGAGAGCAAATTGGTAACGGTTTATTTATCTCATTGCACTAACTGAAAAATGAATGAATTGAACTAACTGGAATTTCGTTTTGAGGTCTTATAGGTAAAAGGAATCCTTCGCGGAAATTTCGAAAGGAAATATTTCCGGGAAGTATTGGAAATACAATAAAAATTCAAACAAATTCAATTGGTCGCAGGAAACGAATCATTTTCATTTTAATAGTCTTCATTGAATATATTTTTTAAGATAATTATCAATTTTATTGATTCGTTTTCACAGTAAATTTGCTTATGGCATAGTAGATCATTCAAACAAAAGCGCCAACAAACACAATGTGCAATTTGAATGGACTTGAATGTGAGTAGACACATAGCGACTTTTTGTTGTACAAGGGAAATTACTGCAAAATGTATGTTGTCCACAAAATTTTTATTTATTTATTTATTTGAAGCTTGAGAAACAATGTTTTCTTTTGAAAAATATACTGATTTATAGACATTTCAGTCTGTTGAAAGACTCTCTTGAATACGTTTTAGCGTTTATAATCTTTACACCCCGAGCATTGACAAACATTGTCTTTTACACAATAGCCGTGGTTAGAACAGCAATGATTTGGTGAATCTGGATCGCAGCCCGGCTCACCACCGTTTGGCAATTTTGGTGCTTTTGGTCCGCATTTTCCTGACTTATTCGCACCGTCACTGTAAGACCACCAAGTCTTTGGTGGGTATTGGTAACTCGGATTATCTTTAAAATTGATGCAACCATCGCATTTACAATATGAGTCACCTAAACATGAGAAAAAGAACAAATGACTGTAATTGAACAATGTACAAAGATCGCCAAAATTTTAAAATAATACTATTATATAAATAGAGGATAGAGAACCTGAGCCACAATAGCCGCCATTTGAGCAACAATATGCGTTTTGATCGTCTGGATTACATGTAGCGAATTCTCCGTTCACTTTGGGCACATCTCTCCCACATCGACCCCGTTGGCCTTCTGGGGCATTGGAAAAGTGCCAGGTTATCTTATTTGTTTTTGGTTTGGTCGGTTCGGCCAACATTTTATTAGGGTCATCTGCATAGTTAATACACGTGGGACAATTGCAATATTCATCGCCTAAAAACCAATTGTAATTATTGCATAAATTATTCCAAATGTTTCTTTTTTCTTCTTTCTTGAAACAACACCACTGAACCTGAGCCACAATAGCCCTTTTCTCCACAACAAGAATAGCCTAAATCATCTGGGTCACAAACAGGATAATAACCATGATATAATGGTGCACCTAATAATGAATAATTAGAATTAGAAGGTCAACCTGAAAATATAATAAAATAAACACACTAACTTTTCCCACACAATCCACCCATGTTTTCACCATCAACCAAGGTCCACCATCGCTTCTCTTTGATGGGTATACACTTGAATTTGATTGAATCATCGTTTGTGCATAAATTGGCCTGGGATAGCTGTGTGATCATTGATTGATCATCATCATCTTGGTCAATAGCCCACACCATCAAGCCACCCAAATTTGATTTGATTGCGAATTCAATTTTGAATTTTACCGATTCGGGTGATTCATAGCTGAATTATGAATTGAAAATGTTATATTAATAATTGATTTGAAAATCGAATTATCTATTTTAATTTACCCGAGATATGTTCCATTTTGATTGTATGCATAAGGACATTTGACTTTGTCATCAAAGTGACTTTGGAAATTTGGATCTGTGAGCCAGCTCTTTTTGATATCGCTCCAAGAAACAAAACCACCGATGAATTTTCCATTCTCACGCGTTGCCAGCCTATACATTGCATGTTCGCCTTGTTTATCGGGAACATTGTTCCAATATCGACCGTACAGCGGTACACCCATAACAACTTGTTTCGGTGATTGTAAATCGCAAACATACTGTTTAATTGCCCAGTTTACATTGAACTTGCCGGCATACCCCTTTGGAACGTTATGGAACAACTTCAAAAAAATAAAATAAAAAAATAATCTTAAAATTTATAAATTAAATAATAATAATAATATTAAATTTAAATTTACTGGTGCTGGAGGTCCTGTGTATGCTCCCCATTTACTCTCCCAGGGTCCAAAGAAGTCATAAGACATGATATTGACCCAATCGGCGTATTTGAGAAGTCCAGGCAAATCATAGCCGTTCTTAAGTGCATCTTCACCGGCCGCACTTGCGAATGTGATCAAATATGTTTTCGGTGATTTCGCTTCAAGCACACCACGTAAGTCCTTGAGCAGACTGACGTAATTTTGCTTGTCCTAAAAATGGAAAATTTAATATTTGTCATTCAAAATCCAAAAAATTACTAAGCTTACTTGAGGAATTCCTTCATGGGCACCACCCGTAACAGGATACTGATAGAGAGATGGAGAATAGATGAGGTTAAATTTGAATTAGAACAAATGAAAAAAACAATAACACTTACTTCCCAATCAATATCAACACCATCAAAATCGTACTCATCAATCGCCCTGAGGACTGAAGCGATAAAATTCTGCTTAATGGTTGGATTTGCTGCCGTCGAACTAAAATATTGAGAATTTTCCCAACCGCCAACAGCAAATGTCACTTTTAGACCTGGTACTTTGGCTTTGTTTTCCATTAGAGCTTTCAAATTAGACCTAGCTAAATCTTCAACCTCGGCGTCTGTCGATGTTTGTGCACTGCTATGATCCGGATTACCAATACCAACTGTCCCATCGGCTCTCATTTCCAAAAAGGCGAAAATGATGTGAGTAAATTTAGACAACAGTGATGCGGACAACTTCTTTTTCGTCCATGAAGGATAGTAGCCCACGATTTTTTTACCACAACTACTTGAAGGAACATTTACATTTCCATCAAATTTATCTTCAATAGTGAGATCATCCTCATTTTCAGCATCTTTAATAGAATTTTAAATAAAGTTATAAAAAATAAATAACCTCCAAAAATTATTATTTATAATATAAATATACCTTCTGATTCTTCCTGAGCCTCACCCTCTCTGGCCGCCAAAATGGTACCAAGAATGTCACCAACATCTTTCTGATTGCAAAAAGCTTCAACATCACCAACATCATCAGTGGCTCTCTTCCGTCTACTTTTTTCGCTGCCCATCTGTTTCCTCCATTTCTTTTCTTGGACAGCGTCTAAGTCCATGGCTTTTTTACACTCATCCGGTGTCGGATAGCGATTGATCAAATTAAAAGTCATATTTCTGTCTCTCATCATAGTCACACCGTCCCAAGGATTATGCTCTGTTAAAATATTGGAATCAAATGTGTTGAGCTCTCTCTGAGATCTAGGTGTGAATAGAAACTCTTTATCTTGATCTGACATGTCGACTGGTTCATTTTTTGCAACAAAAAGGACCACGTGTGTTGTCTTTGTATCGATATTTTGATTTTTCTTTTCGCTTACGTCGACTTCGCGATAACACACCATTTTCCAGAAGTATTTGGGCACTTCAATGTTTCCACCAATTTTATACTTTGGTTTGTCAGCCAATATAATACCGGTCGCCACAATTGAGTTAATTTTCGTTCGCTCATGCTTTGCTCCAGTAGGGGGTATCTATTTTTATTAAAAATTCAGTAAAAATATATATTATTTTCTGATATTCTTCTACGTGGATTAATGTTTTATTAATTCATGTTTTATTGTATGATGCTATTTCGCAAACTGCCAATTGTTATAATGATTACCCTTTCACCGCCGTCATCAAACTTTGGAAGAGGTTCTGTATTCTGTGATGCACATTGAACGTTGGCTTCCAATCTGCCCCACCCGCCTCCGCCATTCCATTCTTTTGCTTGCGGTGCAATATTAATAAGAAGACTGCTAGAAGTTTGTGTCTTTGTATTCCACCTAAAGAGATCAGCTGGTGTTAAGTGTCCTTTTTCGAATCCTATTTTCAAATGAACAAATTAATGTTGTAATTTGTGAATTGTAAAAATTCCGTATTGAATTATTGTTACCATGTGGGTTATTTCTCGGATTTTTTGCAGTCACGTGTGGATAATCGTTATTAGTAGCTTGTTTTCTAGCCAAACGTTTACATGGATGTAGCCTGAAAGGAGCCTTTCTTTCAACGAGTTTACCGAATGTAAGAATCCATTTATAATATGTCACTGAATAGATCGGCAGCTTTTTTGCGTCATTAAATTTAACTAGATACAAAAGCACATCTGAGTTGGGCTTGTCATTCTTAAAATCCTTCTTTTTGGGATCGGGATTCTTTAGATCTAGCACAGATTTGATTGTGGACGACTCAACAAATATATAAGTATATTGGCCAGCATCAATACATTCTTGTGGCTCACATAAGGCCTTTTTATTCCACACTGCGTCGTTGCCTTTTTTTATGCAAGCAAGATTTTCAGGTTTCTCTTTATAGCCGGCGTAACACAAGTAGTTGCATTCCTCACCAACTCTAAAATTCTTGCAATCTTCTAAAGTAGGCTTTATAACCTTGTTTCCCATTTTCGCTGCGATCTGAGGTATATCACATTTAAGATCTTTGTCTTTGTCTTTGTTTTTATCTTCTTCACGGCAATAACTATAAAAATCCCTGTCGTCGTCCTTACCCGTAACATCACGTCTCCTTCGAGTTTTTTTCTTTTCACATTCTCTCTGCCTCTTGTCTTCTTTTGCCTTCTCTTCGCTTCTCTTATCCTTGAAACTTTTGTCAACGATGTTATCTTTGGGCGGTTTTTTGGTTGCGTCCTTCTTCGTAGTTTTCTCGATTGTATTCTTAATACCACCCTTTATAGCTTTTGCTCCAGTACTTATTGCTTTTTGTCCCGGAATAAAAGCCAGCAAATCATTAGTGGCAACACCAAGCAATCCTTCGCCAATTTTCTTAATGTCACCCTTGACAATGCCCTCACCCACTTGTTTTACATTTTTCACTAGTTTCTCTCCCTCTTTATAAAGTGGAGTCTTTTTTACTTCTTTGAGCGCACCTTTGGTATCACCTTTTACCAATTTCCCAATAGCTTTCACACCGCCCTTCACGGTCTCAACGGTGTTTACCACAGTATCTTTAATTGCTTTTCCAACACCTATTCAAATTAAATGATCTAATTTAGCATTCATCTAATCAAAATCAATATTTAGTTACCTTTGAAAAAATTTCCGACGCTGCTCCAAAAGCCTCGTTTCGATCGATGGGGCACATTGGACGTTTGGTTGTTCGCATTAAGATAGATTAAGTCTAATAATACTGATTCTTTATCAATTTCGCAATTGATCGCATCTTCTTCAGACATCAATGGCATTTGATCAAGATCATCTTGATTGAAATTCTTATTCAATGTTATCAAATACAAATTACTGAACAGAATATCTTCGCTGTTGACGGTTTGATTGAATATTCCAATGTTGTACAGTTTGCATTTGATCGAAGTGCTTGATCGTTCGACTTGAACTAAGTTACAAGTGTCGCTCTTGTTGTCTTTTTCAAGGCAAAGTGATAAGCACTTATTCAGACCATCTTCGTCAGTTTTCGGGAATGTTTGTGTCAAAGTTATGAATTGATCATGCTCATTTGCCAATCGTTTATTTCGACCAAGAAGCGTGAATTTAAACTCGGGCTGATCATATCTGGGCCTATTCTTACTTAGCATTATCCATTTATCATTGTTGACAACATTTCTTCGATTCGTTCCAATCAAGTCACCATTTGTTAAACACGTTTGATCAGCATAGTTGTATAAAACATCTTTGCATTTATCCTGATTCTTGCACACACCAATGCAGTCTACAATATTCTTTTGTTTGCTCGTTGTGGCATAATTGATAGCCGAAAATCTGCAAATGACACAATGGTGTGATCGAGATGCGATTGGTATTTTAGTAATAATCAAATTACCTTGCTATTAATTGTGTTGCAAAGCCATATAATATGCTATCCCGCCGCGGATGAATCAATTGAACCCTTGTTGAATTGGACACTGAATTTGTGGTCATAGATTCTATATTCCTTACATCGATCATTGTACACTCATAGTCTTGCTCCTGAATCTTAATATCGATGCCAACGCAAGTTGTAAGATTCAAGCACTTATCCTGACACTCAGTAAAATATTGAATGTCCTGCTTGAATTTCAATTCACGCAATTGTTTTTCGCTCGAAACAGACCCAGTTCGTGTTGCTTCAGCTACTTGTGTATTTGTGTCATCCGTACTATCAAGATCTATGACAAAATATCAAAATCCATAAAAAAATATCATCGCACAGTGAAATTCATTCCTCATTACCTTCTTCATATCCAAATAATTCCTGGCCAGATTTATTGAATCTCCACGATATATCATCGCTAAAATAATCTTTATAAAATAGCGATGTGTGACCATACTTATAGAATGTTGTATAGCAATCTTGGTAGTCTTGAACAGTCACACATTCACCTTCAGAATATTCAGCCAAGGAACACAAATCGCTTTTTTCACACAATGAAAAACACTCGAGCATTGAGTTTGCGGGATGAACTTCGGTTGTGTTTTCAAGGCATTTAAGAACGGTATTTCTACTAAAGACATAATCCCTTAAAACATCTACTGGCTGTGGAATAATCAACGTTTGCCAGTCTTCCGTGTCTTCAAAATTATCTTCAATTGTGTCGAAAAGATGGCATTGACGTTGATATTTGTCGTAAGAGCATGCAATACACATTTTATTGTCAATGCATTCACCGAAGCACTGATCAAATGTGGTCGAATCCAATATATTTATTGGCTCTTCATCAATTTTTATGGCGTTTAATTTTCTTATGGGTAACTCTTTGCATGCATCGCAAATTCTAAACGAATACTCTTCGTCATATCGGTAAAAAAATGAACCCGTTGGATCGATTTCTTTACACTTCACTCTTGTGTTTTCGGATGTGATTCCATTTTGACCGAGCAAATAATTTTTAACAAACTGCAAATAATCATCTCCATACGTGTCATCTGTGATCAAAATTGGTTATAAATATTCAAGACGTAGAATCATATAAACAACTACGCAAACTCTACTGACCTTGTCCTTCACCATTATATGAAAATCCAAGTAGAGTCTCCATGAGTTTGTCGTCAATACAAACTCCTCGTGTCCATGTACCATCGGTTCCATTAAAACATTGTAAGCCAGAACAACAATTGGACTTGTCACAGCCTGCTTCCATTGATTTTAAGCATTCCGTCTCACCTGCGATCAAAGCAATTTTCAATACACTGAATATATTTCGACAAAAACCCTGAAATTTATTAACTGATTTTATGTTTGTCCGTAGTTTGCTTTAAATCGAACAGACATTTTTTTTGGCCTTTTTATTGGTATTGCAGCCTATATTTATATAATTTCAAAGCAACGGATGGGCACATTTTTGACAAAGCGACGTGAATTCTCATATTGGTACAAAGTCCATTGTTGTTATGACAAAACTATAAACAGGATTGCACCTATTAACATGCAACATTGAACTCACCTTTTTTGCAAATGCCAAACTCCCATCCATTGGGATTCTCACAATAATTAGTACAGCAGTCCGAGTTTGTTTTGCACTTGTTAGACCACTCTTCTTGGCACGTTGAGGCCGATTCACTCTCCTTGCAAATGCCAAACTCCCATCCATTTGGATTTTCACAAATCTCACTGCAACAATCCGAGTTTACCTTACACTGGTTGGAGCCATCTGCTTGGCATGCTGCAGTCGATTCACTTTTCTTGGAGCAAATTCCAAATTCCCAGTCTGCGGGTCTATTACAAATCTCACTGCAGCAGTCTGAGTTTACCTTACACTGATTGGAGCCATCTTCTTGACAGGCTGCGGTCGTTTCACTCGTTTTACACACACCAAACTCCCATCCATTGGGATTCTCACAATAATTAGTGCAACAGTCCGAGTTTGTTTTACATTGGTTATTCCACTCTTCTAGACAGGGTGTAACCGAGTAACACCCCATCATAAAAGTTGTGGCCAGGAGAAGAAATTTCATTTTAATTTTGTTGATTGAACATGAACCCAAATGTTTATCCAATTAACATCCTTTGTATAATTTTGCTTTGAATGGATTTCCTTTTTTTACTTTGAATGAAACTTTCTTGCGAGTTAAACTGAATTAAAAAATTGATTGTCAAGATATGTGTCTTCTTTTACTTGACTGAACCACGATGATTACGAGCAACGACCAAACTAAAATTATATTTAAAGAAAAAAACAAAGCATATTTAAATTTTTAAAAATTATGCAACCTATGAAAATGATAAATATGTTATATGATTAAAGTATAAACTATAAAATTCGTTCCGAAAATTTAAAAAGAAACATGTAAATTGTTCAAATTTTCAAAGTCCCCAAAAACTTATAAATTACACTTATAACATACACAGTAAGTTCGTCGGAGCCGGCTCTTAATATCGCACTTGATGGTTCAATCTTTAAATTAACACTGAATTTCATTTGTATCAGGATGAATATTTATACGCTTTTTTTGCTAGCACTAATTTCAATCATTTCTTCATATCACGTATGAATGTACATAGTAATTATTTTATTGCTTTAAAAACATATGTTTGTAGTTAGATTTTTATTACATCGAATTCACATTTATGTGGTCATGAAATTGTTTTATTGATATACAACATCACGTTAAACGTGTTATAAATCTACCATAATATCTTAATGAATGCCATATATCATCGGATATGTTTATTCAAACAAGTGAGAGAAATATACTAGCTTACAAATCTCACATGGATTTCATGCCAAGTATATCGTATACTATCGTGAATCGACTTTTGTGGCTACTGAGTTTATCCAGTAATCTTTGATTAAAAAAACCATTGCTAGATTGATTATGTGTCGAAAGAATTCTAAATTTAATCGTTTAATAATTCATCTGATTACATATAATCACATGTTCTTCTCTTCTTTGCGTAAAAATACCGACAAATTCAGTCAAATACAATATAATTGTCATTAAAGTAACCAAAATGTTATATGTTGAATAGCGATAAAACAATTTTGCCTCTAAATATGGAATTCACCGATAATTCAAAAATATTCATACAGTGTAACTAATTATGTTATACCTTGTTTTTAGGCATACCCGTATTCAAGGCAGAGCAATCATCTTTATTATGAATTTATTACTTTTACTCTGGATTTAATCTAAAAGGGTAAAATGTCAGCGATAAAAATAATCATTTTAGATAATTTTTTGCTCCATCATTTACTTTTATACAGAGAGATCGTAGTTCTAACGTATTTTTAGTTTGGTAGAAAATAAAAAAACGAATTCGGCGGTTTTGCTTTTTGGAATCACGAGCAATAAAAAATGTGATTAACAATATTTGATATACGTTTTACCGCACCAAAAAGAACGTAGTTAAAGTGAATTATGACAATGCGTAAAAATCCAGCTAATAGTTGATTGTGTATCTATACACGCCTAATTAATTTTGTTTATTGTTGAGGAAAACAAACAAACGGGGATGCATTAACAAAGTTAAGGATTTCACTAATTCGCCACGCGATAATCGCATGAAAACCTCATTAACATCAATTTGAATTCGATGAAAATATTTAATCTCTTGCCAAAAAGACTGTTGAACTTTAAAAAGTACATTTATGGTCAAGCTCTCTGGAAATCAAAATTTTGTCAAAATTAAAAGAAATTCACGAGAATATATACGACGATAACATGTAATAAAGCAACAGGTGTAAATTAATTCAATTAAGTTATTTGTTCTTTATTTCAAATTTACAAACAAAAAAATTCGTTCAAAATATTTGTCGTTCAAAGTAGTTAATACTTGTTTTGGAAAAACCTTTGACATTTTTAGTGTAAAGACAAAATAATGTCAAGTTTGATTTTCGCAAAAAATCCTTCGCAAAGCTAAATTTCAAACGGAAACATTTCCACCAGATGTTCGAATTTCCAGCGAAATGCAAGAAAATCCAATGGGTCGCAGGAAACGAGTGATTTTCATTTCAATAGAGTATTTCATTGAATTCATAGAAATTTTGATTTTATTGATTCGTTTTTACAGTAAATTGACCAAGGCTATTGGCATTGGGGACAATACAAAACAAAGCGCCACACACATACAATGTTTAAGTTGAATGGACTCAAATGTAAGCAGACATATAACGAAAAATTCATTGACTTTGTTGTTGTTGTTGTTTTTTGTTCATTCGCAGCAGAAGGAAAATGAGTGACAAAAATTAATCGATTTCGATTTTATATTCGCATATACATAATCAATTGGCAGCAATATGCATATTAATAAACGGACGATTGAAAAAAATGATTCAAGCGAAAAAAGTATTGTTGTTGTTGTCGATTATCATTTGTAGTTTGTATCCATCGGTATTTTTACTTCGTGCCATTTTCGCATCTGTGCGGCCATTTGTATAGTATCATAGGCCACTTTTTCACGCAGGCGTACTTTATCCGAATCATTCGGTCAAAATGATGCAGAAAAATAAAATGACGAAGAAGACAAACACTATCACGACCAGACACTCCACGGGAAAATAAAATCGACCGATGAGATGCGAATAAAGAGACACGCGATGTGTACAACAAAGCGTGTGCTACGTGCTCCATCAGTAAAGCGGATGTTTTTTTGCGAAACACACACACACACATGGAGAACGAGCAAGCGCTCCAACGCTGTTACACTTCAATGGATTTTATTACACACAGCACAGCCAATTTCAATGTATAAGGTGAACCGTATGGTATGCCCCCATGCAGATACAAAATGGATACGAAGATTCCTATACCTTTTTTTCATCGATTTTGAGCAGGCTACTAATTTTAATCGAGACAAAATTTTATTTTTAATCAAATTCTTAATTTTTCGAAAAACAAATCTTTAATTGCGAAACACAATCTATCTATGAAATTCACCAAACGAAGCGCAATAAATTTCGGCACTACGTTCGGTAAACGATGCTTATCTTCTTACAATTTGCTTATTAACTCAATAATTTGATGCGATTCGATATGGTTTAACAAAGGACTAGCTCGACGTCGGTCTCTCGGTACGATGTTAGCAATGCATGCATGCAATGGCCAATATAAAATGATGTACGACTTGATTTCGATTCAAATTAGTTCCCATTATTTATGTTTGTGCATTTTATACACGACGCACACATTAAGTCCGATATTATACGTGGATGAGGGGGACGACCGCTCTCTCGCTTCGAATCACCGTCGCCCGCTTTAATCAAATTAACAGTAAAATAGCTAACAATATGATAAAATATTATTACTTATATTTGTTCGGAAATTAACGTAGAGCATTTGGAAAAGATGAATTGAAAGCGGGGTGATTATGTGAAACAAACGCTGTTGAAGCGGTAATAAAGCAAGCATTTCAAGACACTGTGCTGCGTTTCTAAGTTTCGATAATATTTAGTAATCGTTTTTATCACGAAATCAAACCATTCGGCGGTGCAGCTAAATCTTTCGGCTCCTTGTTAATCAGATGATTTTAATGAAATCGATTTTCTTATGAAGAAATTTTTGTGAGTTAAAAGAGTTGTACAGAGATGAGTAAGAATTGTATATGATTACAGAACTTGACTAACAACAACGCCATCTATTCAAAATCGTTTAAAACTTCGCGGCAAATAAAGTTTTCAAAAATGTAAAACTTTCGTTCAAATGATATTCAAATACAAATTCTAAATAAAAAATAACTAATGAAACATCCAGTGTTTAGATCAATGAAAATACTTTATTGTTACAAGAATTTGCACAACGCAATTTGATATTACGACAAAAATTATTGAAACAGATATCAACCATATGTTGTTATTGCAATTGAAATATCATTCATTACCACGTAGCTTAATTTTGTTTAGGAACGTTGAACGCAGTTTATTTGGTAAAAAATTCAGAAAAGAGTTCGCCCAACTTCAGGTTTTCCAAAATATTGCCAATTGAAAGCATATCAATAACGTCTAGTCTATGATAGCCGCTGTTATCTATGGCTTTTAGTGTATCATAAAATGCTGGTAAAAATGGGTCTGTGGTTTTTGGAAGATTTTTCTGCAAATTACTTAAAATAGTCACACTCGAATCCATGCTCGACAAATTTTCTTCAAGTTCATCATATGTTGTCATATTAAATGCAACCACGTCGAATACAAAATTCTCGATTTTATCGGTTAAATCTTGTGTCATTTCGTAGTTTTTTTGGCCTTGTTCTATTTTCAAAATCGTGGTCAACGCATGTTCATTTTCACTCGTCCAGAATTTCACCAATATATTTCGGGCAATTTCCTCAAAATTCTTTGCTTCGTTAGCAAGCTGTAGCAACTTAGTGATTTGTTCTTCATCTTCCTTCTTTAATTCGGGCTTTTTATTTATCAAACCATTCACAAATTGCTCGACTTCACCGGCCATACTAATTGCTTTGTTGAAGCGGGGTCGAATTTGTTCGCCAATGAATTCATCGAATTTGGTTGTGAATTCAAGTAACGGGGATTTCCATTTATACGTTAGTGGATCAACTAAAGAAATAAGCACATTGCGTATATTATTAGAAAAAAAAAACAATTTTCTTTTCATTCGAAGACTTTTTTCAAAAAAAGGAAATAAATAAATTGATATAAAACTAACTCGCATTTTTCGATTCTTTCTCAGCCTTTGCTGCGTAAAATACGAAAACAAAAACCCACAAATAAATGATTGATTTCATTTCAAAACTTGACTTCGAAAAAGATCCAAATTTGAAATTGAACTGGTTAACTTTCAAGACTAATTTAAATTGAATGTGACTTAGGCTTTTATAGCGATTGTCAACAAAATATTGTATTTGACGACAAGTGTTCAGATATATAATTTACATAAGAAGTCGAAAAAAAATTTCATTAATTTTTAGATGAAATTCCATGAATTAATATTTTACATGTCACATTGTTATCAAAATATGTTCATGTTTTTTCTCCACTTTCAAATGATGTCAAATAGTAAGTTCTTTGCCTTAGATATTGGAAGTCACATTTAAATAAAAAATTAAAATTGCAATTAAGTGACAACAATTAAAATTCGACGGAATTTTTTTGGTTAGATCGAAATGTCATCATTACAGGGACGAGAATTTTTTTTTTTGGGGGGAGGGGGGTCTGATGAAAAGATTTCGTTGGGGAATTCCTTGCCAAATTCTATTGGGGTCCTCATAAGAGTCACTTTAATCTAGTGTAGAAGGGGTTCTGCAAAACTTCAACAAATTTTTCAACTTTCAAATTGTAATCGATGTGTATACATGAATCAGTGCAATTGCATTCTTTCAAGAACAACATTCCACGATTAGAATAAAGCAGTTGATCCTGAGCATCTGTGTAGCATTTAATTTTTGCTGAACCGCAAATTTTCGCTTGATTATCCCCTTTGAAGAAATATTGTATTTACCTCCCAATGGAATTCAATTAAAAATGGCATACTTGGCATCGAACATTTTACGCATCCACATAATTGCTTTGTGAAATTCGCCAAACATTCATGATGACAGTTGTCTTTAGTATAAAATTTGTAGAAACGCAAAAACTCCCGTCGCTCGGAGCTAAAAAACATTTACGTTGCTCTGGTTTATATCGGCGAAGTCCTTCCGAAATATCAGAATATTTAGGCTCGATAATTAATCGAGATTTTTTTGAAACTTCTATATAGCCTACATGGGCATAATTTTGAAATTCAATTATTGCTTCGCCAGGCATCGAAAGTGTAATCAAAATTCCTTCCAAATCATGATCATTTTCATAAAGAGACAGAAGCAAATCAAGACAAGTTTTTGGGTATTTTTTATGGTCTGGCTTTTTGGGTGTAACCAGTTCTCAAACTCCATTCTGAAACATTTGGACCTTTCCCCATTTTTATCATTCCCGAAGCCATTCTACACAAATATGTTGGAATTAGATGCATCCAAATACCAATGTACTAACAATCTAACATAGACATACTCATCTGTGTAAATGTCATGCAAATTTAATGCGTAACAAGGTCGCACATATCTCATTACATTAATATGTACGTGCAAACATTCAATTTCATAACGTAACTTTTTACGATTGGATGTCATGCAATCAGTGCACACGAGTGGCTCCTTTTAATTGCATAAAGATTTTAGATTAATTGATCTTGAAAATTTTCTTGAATAATTTATTTTTATTTTTAATTTATTATTGATTTCGGAATAAGAGAAGTGATTTTTTTTATTCTGTGAGAAAAAACATTGCAAACAATTTAAAACTAAAAAATAAACAATATTTCGGTGTTTGGTTTATTTTTATTTATAATCTGTCTACTTCAATTGTGTTTTTTTCTAACTTTTGCACTAAATATAAAATTAAGATCCACTTTATGATTTCTCTGCATTTCTCAAGCGTTTAAATTGATAAAAATAAACTTAAAATAAGTACTTTAGCCGTTGTGTAGTTATCAGAAGTCGCAACGGGTCCCCGATTCGAGCCTCCGACCGACGACCGCCCGATCACGAACCGACGAAGTTCGGGTCGGGTGGGATTCGGTCTGAGTCCTTCGGGTGTTTGGATATTTCGGACGTTTGATATCATGGGCGCCAGAAATCGAGTGTTTTTTGGAAATTATTTAGAAAATCTCGCGAAAAACAGAAAAAAATAATGTTAGAACCATTTTTTTTTTACTTTTTGTATCAGTTGAATCTTCTTAAAAAAAATACGGGGAACTTAGACCCGAAATTTCCATCCTTTTCCATTCGATTTTTCCATCCCGTTGCGACCTCTCTAACTTATTACACGAAGTTACTGTCCAACTCAGACTCTCTCTCGAAATGGCACATATATTTTTTTCATTCCTTCCAACCTTCGCTTCTTATCAATTTAATTGAATGTTTTGAACTTTTTTCTAATTATAGTTTTGTTGAAGTGATTTTACTCAATGGGACATAAGTTGCACTCCTCGATAAATCATTTTCGCGAATTGAATTTGTTTGACCACGGAAATTTCGCCATCTATAAAACACAAAAACACTATTTGAGTTGAAGTCGATTTGTAATTTCCACTGATGCGCACGTACCTTTCTTTAAGTAAGCCAAATACACGACGATTCACCACAAACAATATAAAAATAAACAATCCTTGTAGCGTATTACATATGTCGGTTAGCATGAAAAATTCACTTTTCGGATCAATTAGATAGGAGACGACTTCCATGCTCCAAACCACTCCCATTACGAAAAACAATCGGAGGAATAATATATATCTAAAATATCCATTATCATTCATTCAATTAAATAAAAAGAATTTTATTTTGTTATTCACTTACTTTTCTCTTTTACTTTGTAAAGTTTGTCGGCATTTTGGAGTGCTCTTATCGCCGCCATTCAAATCGTTTTGTAAGTGTCGAATTTGTAATGCAATCATGACAAAAAATCCAATATTGATCATGAATATGAAACCGATTGGAAGATAAAAATACAAAAACATATCTGAAATTGTATTGAATGGATTATTATTTGTTTGAAACAAAAGCCAACTGAATAATCTCTTCGTCACTTACTGGTCAAAAAGCAACTGCTGTCTCCGATGCCAGGTCGCAAATTATATGGTAGTGTAACGAAATTATCAAGAATAAAAACCAACGCCGTAAAAATGACGGGAATTCCAAATCCATAAGTCGAATATAAGTTGAATTGTTTCCGTTCCGCAAGTTGTTTGAATTTGCTTTTGGATCTATGGAGATTCAGAAACAATATCAAAACACATTTGAATTATTCCTATTTTCATAATGACGCACGTTCTTGCGTGCTAATAAAAATAATTTATAAAATAAGAGTTTCAGATGTTTTTTTAACCTTTACCGAAACACAACGTATTTTCTTAATGCTATCTGATTGTTATTAAATTATTATAGATCGGAATTGCCATTAAATAATGAAATGAAATTCTTACCGAAAATGCAACCATAAGTCGAAATTCATGACATTCAACCAAAAGAAGGCCGCCAGAAAGGAGAAGAGCATGATAAATCCGGTGGGATAACAGATATATGGTAGAACCTATGAATAGATTATAATTATTGATTTCATGTGATCTCAATAAAACCGAATCTCAAACACGAACATAATTGTGCCCATTAAGATGAATGAACGCCATTAATAGGTAGCTAACTGCCAGTGAAACTAAGTAACAAATCAAGCATTTGCCTTGCAGATTTTGCAATTTTGGCACAACAACGTAGACGAAAAGTGTTACGCATAAGAACATCACCGATATTAGCATACCTAAAACAAAAATTATTTACTCAAAAAAAAAAACAAAGTTCACAACTCATGAAATACGTACAATAAGCTAAAATTATGTAGCGAGGTTCATGTTCGCTAAATTGGAATTGATCTGCACACACCAGCACAGCCAAATCTACCTCGTTGGTTTCGTTGTCCAGTTTGCTGTGCAAGCAGTACTCATGATGTGTTAATAAAATATTTTCATCGAGTTGAATTTGACCTTTCTGAAATAAGAACTGATATGAGCATCTGCAATCTTCACGTTAATTCGGATCAATTTCTTACATGCGTTATTTGGTATTCAGTTTCGAGGTACATTGATTTGCACGTACGACCTTCAACGTATGCAAAATGATGATCCAAAGTCAGAAGTTTTGTTTCGTTGCTATTTTCGTACAGAACTTCAGCTTCAAAATTCTGAGCACCATCACGCTCACTACAAACCTAAAAAATGCAACAATGTTTTGAATTTGAATTGAAAATTGAAAGAATTTTAATGAGACGTACGATGGTTCCATTTTCTCTGGTTTGATATGTGCGCAATGGACAACAGAGCCGAAGACATGGTTTGATGTTACAAGTGCAGCCCCGAATATGCGAGTCTGCTGTGATGTTGTTCGTTCTCTCCAACACATAATCAACAGTTGCATATTGATTTTTGGGATAGACAATGCCTTCAAATAATATACTTCCGTCTGATTGTTGAAGACCATCACTGATATTTTTTGAATCAAAAAAATGACATGGTAGAACTTCAACTGCTTTAATATGGATACTTAAGGCCAGTAGAGTTGATATAAATAGCCATATATCCATCATACAGCAACTGAACTGGACTTATATCTTATTGAAAATCTAAATTAAATAAAAGATTTTGTAAAAAAACCGGGTAAAATAATTATATTCATTTACCTGTTCAAAATTCGAAATGCTTTTCTATGTTAGAGACTCTAAGGTAAAGTAAAGGAGGATTGTTCAAAACACAAAGTTGACATTTAAAATAATAATTTTAACTTAAAAAATTACAAAAATCATAATGATACAACGCTAGTTATTTAAACTTGAAGTTTATGAGACATTTTATTATGATGCAAAAATGCATTTGAAACAATGCAAAAATCACAAGAGTTTTGTTGAAAACACGACTTTATGACTCACGAGAAACGTCTAATAATATGTCTTATTTCAAGTTAATATAGAAATAATTACGTTAGTAATGTTCCTTCGTGATAAATTAAATCAAAGCGTACAGCTTTTTACACGTTTCTTATGTATGATCACAGCACTGTTGCGCTCTTTCTTATATGAATTGGTTCGAATACCGCGTCTTACTGAACGAATAACAAATATATCCTTGTATATATGAAGAGTATAAAAGCTATCTGAAACACACACTACACTGTAAAGTGCACCCAGTTTCAGTGCCAGGGGTAATCTACAGTCAAAAGTATTTTATATTTATAACAATATCTAGAAACGCTATATGCTTGTAGCGTTACTTTTTTCAACCAACCACTGTGCATTAGTTGGTGTGGCACCTATGGTACCACACATTGAATATTAACTGACTTCCAATGTGGACATTCAGTGTATGTTTGTCTTTAGACTGGATGGTATTTGATAATGTTTGCTATTTTATATTAAATTTGTTTGGACAGTCCCCTATGTTATCACGTATGTATTCGCGTGCATAATGGTATTTGAGTTAAGTGACCACGTGAATACGTTTTAAACATAGCCGTGGTCTATCTGTGACCGAAAACACTGACGCTCTCCCTGATTGCATTAAATCTAACTAATCTGTCCCAAATATTTTGTATTGCATCTAACAGATGGTGCTCGCATATTCACAATAACAAAAATCCATTTAAAAAGTCTAAAAAGTACAGAAAAATAATTTAAAAAAGGAACAATAAATAAATTTTAAATCGTTTTTTAATGGAAATTATTTTTCTTTGTAATTTTGTGAGATTTACTTTTCTCAAAATCGCTCAATATTGAAAAATATTAAATTAGAAAAATAAAATGGTTAACATAACCTCACTTTTTTGTCACAATGATACAAGTTGATTGCTAAAAAAAGCTAAAAAAACACCAGAAAATATTTACAAAATAAATGTAAATATATTTTTAAATGTTAATTTAAGTGAACATTAATTTCATTTTCATTTTTGTGTGATTGGAATTCAAAATATTCGAAAATAACTAAATCAAAAAGTGTGCAACATAGCCTCACTTTCAATTACGCAATTTATTAGACGTCCAATACAAATAGAAACATAACACTTTGGGACAGATTAATTTACTTTAATGTTATGAGGGTGCGCTTCAGTAGATTCGTAAACAGAAGAGTAAAAAAATTAAAAACATAAATTTTTTTTTAAAGCTGTACAGAACTGCACAGAGTAATTTATATTTTTTATAAATCTTAATGATTTCCCAAATTCGTTACTTCTTTCAATGTTTTTTAAGTATAAAAACTTATTTATTTGCTTTAAAAACGCCATTACAACAATTGAATAAAATAATAATAAAGAATTCGCCATTAAAGAGAATACTCGTTGAAAAGTCGTGAAGTTATGATAATTTAATAGTCACCACTGTTGACCAGGCAATATATTGAATTAACTGGTCAGTTGAGCTGACAGTACGTTAGCCAGCTAAATGGGCTAAAACAATAGACGTTATTGTTTTAATGATGAATCACTTTTCTTTTTTTAATAGAAGTGATTGTTCATTATAACAATAACTTCTATTGTTTGAGTCCATTTAGCTGGCTAACGTACTGTCAGCTCAACTGACCAGTTAGTTCAATATATTATCTGCTGTTGACATAGCTCTTTGCTCGAATTTTATTGTAATTAAGAATATATTTCATCATTTTCATCGAAAAATTTCAATTCAAATCGACTCAAATAAACAAAAAGTAATCAAGCGAAATTCTCAATGTTTTAATATTCAATTACTTCGACGACTGAACTAATTTTTTCCATAAAGACAGACCATAATGAATCGTCATTTAACTGCAGTTTTGCTGAATTTATTTTTTTCAGTTTTCTTGAGATTGAAATAATAAGTTAAATAAAAATCAATATGGCTTCATCTTTCTCTTGTTCTTGTTTAAATTTTTCGATGGCGAAGTTGGCGCGAACTAATGATTCGAAACAAAAGCACGCACACTAGCATATTCATTCGAATGATGCTCAAGTCACGTGTGTCTGTAGTCGAATCGAATGCCAATAACACACTAATGACTCCTCTGAGAACTACCTCAGTTGACATATTCAAACGTTTGATGACAAAAACCTCATATAAATATTTGGTTTAACATTCAAAACATTTTTTTGTTGATTTTTTTTTTTGCTTTCTGAAAATATTATTTATTGATCATTTTTTGTTTTAATAATAGATCTGCTTTTCATTTAAACTGAGATTTGTATTTGAAATAAAATCATTCTCAAAAGATGGCGCAAACAATACATTCAATCACATTGATAATGAATGCAAGTGGCGCCATATTTATCACACAACGGCAAATACTCATAACAAATCGTACAAAAGTGTATTTTGCGATAATCAAACAGCAAGCACAGGCAGTATGTTTGAAATGGTGGCATAGAATAGTCAGAAAAATATTATTCGGTGTACGAATAAGAGAATCGCACATTCAAAAAGAAAACGAGTCGGACGAGAGAAAAAATAATTGTGTTTAATTTTGTGTGTACACATAATTAAGAAAAAAAAAACAAAACGGAAGAAAAAGTAATCGAACCAAAAAGAATTGCTTTTATTTTTGTTGATTTGCTAGAAAAAAATATATATCGTGAAACTTCCTGAAACGAACGACGAAGAGAATAGAGAAAAAAAAAGACGAGTAGAAGTGAGTCGCGCGTTTTTGCACTTTAACTGTAAATGAGAGATAGCAACGTTTGTGTCACATTTTTGTTTCAAATGGCAACCAATTCACGAAAAATCTCTCTGTTCTTTAATTATTATTTTTTCTTCTTTTAAATAAATGCAAATAAAAAATTTAAACGTAAACTAACTGTGATAAATGAGTAGAAAATAGTACGGAATTAAATTAAAACCACAACATCAAAAGTAGAAAAATAAAATCTAGTGCATTTTATCAAAAAAAAAGAGAGTTTGGGCAGAGAGAAAGCTGAATAAATTTTGTTTCACGAACATTTTTTTTTTGGCATTACGGAACGAAGTGAATAACCATTTGAATTTTCGCATCGAGAATCGACAGCTAAATAGCATATGTAAGTGTAAGGTGAAATAAAAAAACGAAATAGCAATAGAAAACAACAGTTGTCTTATATAGATCGCAATTTATTTTTTTTTTGTCAAAGCGCCTCATTTTAACGTATGTAATTTTTTGTCTTTATTTTCTTTTCTCATTTTCAAGGCATCAGACCGATACATTTGTTATCATTGAATCCAGTATTTTGAAGTGTGTATGTGCGAATTTGTTCGATTTTTATTCAATTTTCGGAACAAGTCGACGATAAAGCAATAAAAAATTTTTTTTCCTGAACTGCACACATACAGAGAGCAACGAGTGTGAGCCCAAAGCACCAACACATCAACACAGAGAGAACGGTGTGTATACATTCAAGCGGCTGAAACAAACACACACAAACACACACACACACACACACACACACATCTTCTTGTTCATCGGTAACCATTTCATTTTGGAAAGAAACTGATTGCTGATTTTCGAGTTTTGCCACATACAAACATATACCAAACACACACACAAACACCGACGATTAACGCTGAGCTATCGAAAGGTACGTATGGAAATTTAATTGAATGCATGCTTGTTTCCATTTTTATTATTATTATCATCATCATATCGGTATCTAATTCTCCGTTGGCTTAAATACCATAAAATAAATTCACTTGATTCGCATATCAACGGTTGCGGTTATTTTTTTTTCTTCTTTTCTCGCTGGTTTGTTCGTCGTGGTTTTTTTCCTCGTTCATTTGTCGGTTTCATGAAATTGTACATTTCTAATCTTGACTTGAGAGATACCGTTACCGTACTTTTTTTCCTTTGTCTCGGTGTCTCTTTGCGAGAGATGTCTCCTAATCGAACTGAAATTGAAACGAATTCTCTTTTCATAAAAGATTTTCGATACGAAACGATGATTTTATGTTAAAAAGATGAGATGCATCCCAATGATATCGTTCACTTTATTTTTTCGTCGTGTATGCGTTTGTCTTTCAATGTGCAACGCATCGACAAGTCTCGGCTCAAGCTTCTCGCTTTTGTGTCTTAACACTTCGTTTTTGTGTGCACATATTCGCACGCATACACACAAATGGCCAAATTTTACCATTGTATTTTGCCTTCTATATTTGCTTCTTTCGTTTCGCATACAAACTGTTGCTCCGATACTCTCGGTTTTTTTTTCGTTCGTTCGTCTTCCACTGCTACCTCTTCTCCGTACATCGGCCGCCTGTTTGTGTAGTTATTGTTATTATTACTGTTATGATGTATTTCGATATCGACTATAGCTTCGCTTCTATTTCGAATCGATTTAACTATTTAATTTCAACAGTTACAGTTTTGATTATTGTTGTTAGTTTTTCATTCGTTCAAATGAGTTTTTACACGAAATACACAAAAAAATAAAAAGTGAGCGCGCCGTGTGAAAAAAATGATTAACGCATATTATGAAAATAAAATGTCTATTTGAAAGATATTTTTTTTGCGAGAAAATGTGTTCGCAATTGTTTTGGGGTAGGAAAAGAGAGAAAAGAGAAGAAGAAGAAGAAGAAGAAGAGGTAAAGAGAAAAGTGTAAAGGAATGGAAAAAAACGGTGCACACGCCACAAAGAAGCATAGAAAAAACCCGAAAAAGGTTGCCAATTCCGAAATTTTCTGTAAGAGAGTGAGTGAGTGTACGTTTCGTATATGTATTTGTGTTGTATGCGAGAATGTTTGCGTGTGAATGTCAGTACGACCTATCGAAAATAATGGCGTTCAATATTTTTGTTCGTTATTTTTTGCTTTTGTTGTATGTTCATTCAGCTTGGTACTTTTTTTTCAATGTTTTTGTATATTTTGTTTTACAATTCGTCGTTGTTTACTTGCTCATTTTCCTCAACACCGAACAGTTAAAATAAGGAATAAATAGTCAGCCAACTTTATTTCTGTGGTCTGCCATTTTTGTGTGACACACCAAAAATATCTATGTCTAAATTTAGAGAGAATTGATATGGTTCCATATCGACATAGTTGTTGTTATTTTTGGTCTACACTTTCCTTATTATCGCTGCTGTTCGTACAATTTTTCGGTGTG